AGGACAACAACAACAAAGTATAACACTTTTTTGGCACATTATTTTTTTCACTCAAATAAAACCTCTTTCAAAAAAAGTATATATTGAAGAGAAAAGTAGATATATTAACCAAATACAGTTAGCTATGTAATGCATCTTTAAAAACTTAAAACTTCTTTGTTTTACATTTTTTTAAACTTCTTTGTTTTACATTTTTTTCTGCATTCATAAAAAAAACCACTTACATTGCAATTAAATTGACATTTAATAGATGATTTTGTCCAAAGCGACTTACAATTGAGGAGGAATTTAGCGATTCAACAAGAGGCAATACATATAAGTGCTAGTATTTCAAAGAAGTTGTTTGTGCTCAGAGAATTTAGTTCTAGAGTATGGTACAGTATTAGAGGTCTTTTAAGAGAGAGGAAAAGAGAAGGTGCTCCTCCAGGCTGTTTTATTATTATTCACCGGGGCTCAGGTTTTCTCTTAAGAGATTTTTAGTTGTTGTTTGAAGGATGTTGAAAGATACATTGTTTATACAAATTTTAAGATCAAAGACAGCAAGGTTTGAAATGAATTTTAAAAAATAACACATGTAGAGAAATGTTGTTTTTAAAACGTTTGTTGTAGATAGATCTGTATTCATACAAAAATACTTTAAAAAAGATAAAAAAATATATTTGAATAGAACTTATGATTAAGGTAAAAAGAAAAAAAAAATCTTTAAAGAGCTACATTACAATTGTTTACCCTCAAAAGTACAAATAAAGAGACTTCTATGATAATTCAGACATCAAAAGCATGCACATCACAGTCACTAGCTGTGTTTCCATCCAAAAATGTCAATTAACCTTTTGCGAAAAACTGGATTATCGCATAAAAGACGTGCAAATAAAGCAGTGTTTCTATTCAAGGAGTCAAAGCAAACAAAATCGTCACTTCCTTATTATTTATGTGCATTGTGGTGTTTCCATCAACTGATTTTTTATGCGCATCTCCAAAATGTGAATAAAATAGGTGGATGGAAACATAGCTACTGTCAGTATGAATTGCAATTTAATTAAAAAGCTTAAAAATCAAAATGAAAAAAATGAGCTGTAAGATGTTTCTCTACATATTTTCAATCACAATGTTTTTCCTCACCTGTGTACTGGGCTAAACCCAACTCATAGACGAGTTCCAGCAGGTGACCAGCATGATTTCCAACCAGCATCTTCTTCAACTCCACCCAGATCCTCTCGCCTGAGATTCCAGCCAATCCTCTAGCGTTTTCTCTTATTGCCTCCAAAGTCTCTGGTTCATGTTGGCCAGGTTCAGCTGCCACTCGTCCATAGAATCTACAGAGCAACCAAACCTCATAATTACTTTACCCTCGTACTGTTTCAAACATGCATGTGGATCAAAGACGAGAAGTTCCTTGTTGTTAAATTAATAGTAGTGATGGTGAAATGAAGCTTTCTGAACCAGTGAAGCACTCGACTCAATTGTATCGGAAAAAGGTTCGTTATTCGAAGCTTTCTAAATCAGAGCTCGATGAGGACCTCTTCTGGTGAAAGTGTGGGAAAGCACTGTGTTGCCATAATGTCAAATTTTCACAACTGACCAACTCATTCATGTAGTAATACAACAACAGCAATATAAACAAATTACTTAATTACTGTAGTTTTTACACAAGATATATTACATTACACAACTGATGATTGTAGTAAAATCCAAGGTATTCAAAAGTTTATCATAATACAATTAATCCCGCTCCAAGCAGGGATCGAACCAGCGATTCCTGATTGGGAGGCGAGTGTTCTAGGAGGACGTTATGTGAACGATGCTTCAGGGTTAGATTCTCCAGATGGTCTCTGTTAAACACAATACTACGATATGCGGTGGTTTTCTTTAAAGGTAGTCATAAAAAAAATACGCTAATACACTTTAGTATTGTTCAAAACCTTTTTACTAAAAAATACTATTGTAGTTTAGTTTAATTACTGGTGTGTAGGACTGGTGCAGTGCTTTGAAACAAATGTATGTAATAGACGCCAATTCTCTCGCTATACACTTTACTATGAAGGTGTTTAAACCTTTGAATCAAAATTCGAAGCAGTCACGTGGGTAAAGGCGAAAATGAAGCTTTGGACGTCACTGATCACGTGATGATGGCAAAATGAATCAAGCTCCGGTACACTGCTTCACTGCGAGATGTATCGTTTTTTTGATACATGCTTCGAAGCCTCGGCGCACAACGTCACATCACTAATTAATATTATAAATGTGATTTTACATACATACATACACACACTGCTGGCCAACAGTTTTAAAACAAACAAAATAATGAAATATTTTTTATTAGTTGAAATAACTGGCCCCTATTTGAATATATTTAAACACGCATTGTTTTCCTGTGATTTCAAAGCTAAATTTCTAGGTTTATGTGCATGGAGTAATAATGCTAAAATAAGCTATATCATTATTTTACTATATATATATATATATATATATATATATATATATATATATATATATATATATATTTTACTATTTAGATGCTTGATTTTTTTTTCTCTGATCCATGTGCTTTCTCAGCCTATAATTACCTGAAATATCTCAGAATTCGCAGGTAGTCCTCTTGGATCCGTAGTGAAGCACTTCCAACAAACCTCACTTTTCTGTTTTTAAGGTCCTCATATCCTTGAAAATAATCATACAGAGTCCCATCCAGACCTTTAAACACACAAAGAAGAACAAAGCAAATCAATAAAAATGGCAAATTTAAATAGAAAGACTAATAATTCTAGTTAAATAAATCCTCATAGCTCCTTGTGTTTTACCGAGAAACATGGAGTTGATGGTGAGGTCTCTGCGCTCGGCATCTTTCTGCCAATCAGTGGTAAACTCCACTTCTGCATGCCGTCCATCAGTCTGGACATCCACTCGCAATGTGGTCACTTCAAAGTTCTCCTCATGAAGCTATATTATGCAGAAATTGGCACATTTAGAGTCATTACGTTGACATGTGGACATCAGAATTCATTGAAGAACTAGAACCTATGCTTCACCTCACCCTGGCAGTAATGGTGCCATGTTTCTCTCCTTTATTGTTGATCATGCGGACTCCTGCTGTCTGGAACATGCTCTTCATCTCCTCTGGAGTGGCTGTTGTGGCAAAATCCACATCTTCAGGCCGTTTTCCAGACAGAAGGTCCCGCACCGCACCCCCGGCAATCCTCAGCTCAAACTGGTTCTTTTGAAATATTTCTAGATATCAAATAAATATGGCATGTTTTGGATATGTTTGCACTAATTAAGTTGTGAGGTACATGACAATGTTAAAGATTCAAATGTTTGCACAAAACTGAATGAATTAGGGTAACACGGTGGCTCAGTGGTTAAAACTGTCGCCTCACAGCAAGAAAGCCGCTGGTTTGAGCCCTGGCTGGATCAGTTGCCATTTGTGCCAACCGTTTATGCTTCCCGTTTTGCATGGGTTTCCTCCTGGTGCTCCGTTTTCCCCCACAAGTCCAAAGACATGTGGTATAGGTGAATTTAATAAGCTAAATTGTCTGTAGTGTACTGTATGTGTGTGAATGCAAGAGTGTATGGGTGTTTCTGGGTTGCGACTGGGAGGGCATCCGCTGCATAAAATATATGACGGATAAGTTGGCGGTTAATTTCACTGTGGCAACCCCTGATTAATAAAGCCCTAAATGAATGAATGAATGAATGAATAAGCTTTGTGGTATCGTTAGCAACAAAGTGTGAGTAGATGTGCCCAAACAACTCACTGGTGCAATTATTATTTGTCATGAAGTATTAACACCGTGTTTTTACCAATGACATTTATAAAGTGAGCTTACCAGCAAGACCAACGAGTCCGTCGGTAAATAAAGACTCAAACTCTTTAGTTTTCAGCTGCATCGTCAATAAAGCCCTGCAACTCCACGTGAGATGAACCCGGTTGACAAACGAAGGGCGTAGAAATAATTTAGCCCACATCGGTGGACCTTAAAACAAGAGAGTCGTTATCTGTAAATTTCACATGCCACTGAATTAATGTTAATGATACATGCTAAATACCTATAACGTTGAATGTTCAGTAATTATCTTCCAGACTTTTCAACTCCAATGCTAGTTTTCAAGATGCTAGGCATTACTATTATTTAACACCTATTATACTTATGGCGATGCTAAGCATTTATCAAACATGACTCACAACAGTTAATATTTATTCACCTTAGGAAAACACCAGATGCTATTTTAGCACATCGGTAGTTTCACTCACGCTGCGAGCAGCCATGACAGACATTCACGTAAGGGCGTGGCCAACTGCTTCCGGGACACTTGCGTAATAACAAGATCGTCCAATGAAAACTGAGCACTTTTATTTTTTTTTTCAGTCGCCCATCCAGCATGCTACAGTTATGGCAAGCCATTTTAACATATAATCTATATACTTACATTTTTAGTAGATACTAGTTCTTATTTATTAGATCGTAGTATAACTTAATCATTATTTTGCACTTGTTGAAAATAATCCTTTGTATTTGCAAATGTATTTGTTTCATTATATAGAGTAACTATTCTTACGTTAGTAGCCTTGGTAAGAAACTGAATGAGTTTGTATCTAATATAAGCACTGACATCTTGAGCTATTAGCGATAGGCTACCTATGAATAGCGTAAAAAAAACTAGCATAAAACTACTAGTCTACTAAAAACAGCATGCACTTCTCATACTTGGAATACACTAAAAACCGAATAGTTGAAATAAACTAGCAGCTAGCAGCATGAAAATATATTAGCAGCGATTAAATGTTAAAACAGCTTGCCATAGCGCAAACGTTTCACTCGTTAATCACTAGTTTACTTTATAATTCAATCAGCCAGTATATCGTACACTGTGTGATAATAAGAATCCTTATCTGCATGATTAGATTAAGTCCCTAATATTCAAACGCGATCATTTTTGCTGATCATTTGTTTACATCTGAAGTAACCTCCCATTTAAAGCCAAAGCGCATGCTGCTGGCGAGAGGACGGAAGTGACAGGCTGTTGCTTACATTCAGAGCAGCTGTCGGCATCCGCACAGTCTGAATAAATGGCTAAAGTGGAAATCGCTCCTTTGAGAGGCTGGGATGATTTCTATCCCGGCTCAGATCGCTTCGGCAAACCAGATACACGAGATTTGGCGAAATGGAACAACAGAGTGGTCAGCAACCTCCTGTACTATCAAACCAACTATCTGGTGGTAGCTATACTTGTATTCCTGGTTGTAGGGTAAGTCCTTTGCACAGCGTCTTACATGCAGAAATTCTATAAAAACAATATTAAAGTAGTATTTGTAACATTCAATGTGAACTTAAACACAAATATCGGATTGCGGAAAGTATCGCGAGAACAGTGAGCTTTAAATATAGGCTGTATTTGAGCACAAACTAACATGGCAATGCATTTAGTTCTACTTTTGTTGTTAAACTGCGATGTATAACATATTTCCAATAGTTTTGCATTGTAAATCCCATGGTACACAATATTGCAATCTCCACTGTATGGTGTTTTATTTTATGGGTATTGCATGTTGTGTATTTCATGCTGTTTTTAAGTGATAAACTTTTAAAATTGTTTTCCCATCTGTCCAATATAGAACATGATGTTATTTCTACCTAAATATAGCTAGTTGATCCTGACAGACATGGCTGTGTTGATATATGGGCAGCTGTGTTTAAGTTTGTAAGCCAGTTTAATGTCCAAGAGATGATGGTTTGTCTCTAATATTATAACTAGTTGCTAAGACTGAACAATATTTAAGGGTTTTATCACATGACACTTATGAGCAAAGGTCATGACAGTATTTTGTCATAGTCATTTCACAATTATACAGCTCTCACAAAAATGAGTGTTGTTATAAATGTTAGTGCATATTTTTAAAACATACGTTATACTATAAAAAAACTTGGTTAAATCAAATTTGGTGTAGCAATAACTTGATTGACTCGTGGTTAGTATAATAACATCTATTAACCCTGTTTTTTACTCTGTTTAAAAAAACTCTGTTAATTATTGTCAAGCTTTCCATTGCAATTATTACTATTACATTTTATTAACATGTATTATTTCACACTCAAATCATGTATACTATTTATGTTCAGGTTATCACATGCAATGTTTCCTTTTATCAACAATGTTTTATAGCGTTTACACTTTATAGCCACTAGGTGTCACCATCAACGCATGCTTGCTTTCTTAAAGGTATAGTTCACCCCAAAATGAAAATGTGCTCACTATTTACTCATTGTCAGGTGGTTCCAAACCTTTACGAGTTTATTTCTTTTCTTGATCAAAATACAAGATATTTTGAAGAAAGCTCAACACCTTGAAACAGAAAGCTGTGACCTGACTTCCATACTAGGACCAGTGGTGGAACGAGTACTGAAAAATCATACTTGAGTAAAAGTACCATTATATTACTCAAAGTAGGAGTAAAAAGCCTTTTCAAAAGTACTCAGCAGCTCCGCGCATGTGAACAAAAGTGCCTGATTTGAAGGAGAAGGTTTTGATGCGGCGTGTCAAAACAAAAAAAAAACAAAAAACGAGCAAGAGGCATATTTTTTTTTAAATGATGCTTTTGCACATGGCGTTTTGCACATTGGTGTGCACAATCACATTGCCAATGTTTATTCAGTCATAAGGCATTAAACGTCAATGGAAAATGTGAGCTAAAAGCGTCCCGTGTGCACAGGCCTATCCGCTGTAAAAAGTTGATGCATTTACATGTAATTTGTGGATGTGTGTAAACATAACATTCTGTAGTGCATTTATTTCCCAGCAGGTACACAACATCATAAAACGTTAATCATGGGTCAGATTAAGGTTGTGACGTCAGGTGACCAAAATTCAATGTCTAGTCAGCGTCCAAGGACAACATTATCTTGATGTCTAATAGCGACGTCAAATGACTTTGATATTTGGTTGATTTTAGGTTGAGTTGGAAAGTGACCAAAATCCAACGTCCAGCCAACATCTAAAACCAGCATCATATTGACTTCAAATACTGACATTTATTCATCAGGTATGACAACCAAAATCCAACCTCTGATAGACGTCATAGTGGTAATGTTCACACAACGTCAAGCTGTAACATCATTAGACGTTAATATTTAGTTGATTTTAAGGTTGGACGTTCAGTTCTGACATCAACCCGATTTTCATTTCCAAGCAAAATGTAACGTCCCCACGATGTTGGGGTACAACGTCAATCTGACATCATGTTGAGGTTTTTGTGCCTGCTGGATGTTTAGGCCCATTTCAGTCATCATACAGTAAACATCCGTCATCTTGTCATCAGTGACATGCATCTAAACAGTCTCTGGGTCAATGTGTATAAAGATTTTGGACATCTTCTTGGACACTTTGAATGCTTCCAAACAGTTTGCTGCAATTATAACTCGCCCATGTCTTGAGGTAGTTCATTATGAGGCCATTTACCTTCTATGTGCAATGTGATTAGACCAGAATCACAGGACTGATTTTTTTCTAATCCCTATAGACTAGAAAGAATAAAGTAGTGACTGCAGGTTAAAAGAAAGTAGTAAAGTAAAAGTACCGATACAGCACTAAAAATTTACTCAAAGGTAAGTAAAAGTAAACATTTTTAAAACTACCTAGTAAATTACAATGTCTGAGAAAAACCACTCAATTACAGTAATTTGAGTATTTGTAATTAGTTACTTTACACCACTGATTAGGACAGACAATTGGAAGTCAATGGTTACAGGTTTTCAGCATTCTTCAAAATAACTTATTTCGAGTTTAACAGAAAATAGAAACTCTTAGTGGTTCTAAACAAGAAGTAGTAAATGATGACAGAATTTAGATTTTTGAATGAACTAAGCCTTTAAACGGTGACTGTCAGAGATGGTTTTATTATTGGCGGTAACTTCTAGTACAAGTTCAAGCAAGCTTTTGGGTTCACCTGTTGAAGATTTAATGAGTAAAATGCTTATTTCTAAACAGACTTTGAAGCATAAATAAAAATCTACTTTTTGGACACAGCACAACACACTTCAGCTGAACTTTTAACAGCTTTATATTTACTTTCTTCAAAGTTATATACATTATTATGTACATATTTGTAATTATATTTGACTTCTATGTAACAAGGTTCATTGAGCAGGGGCTGGACATGATAATAAACTGAAATCACGCACATTTATTTCCAGAAATATGATCTTATTTACTAATAAACTTTTTACTTAAATGTGTGCTTTTAAAGGTCCTGTGAAATTAAAATAAAAAATGTCAATGTTATTATCGGTCTGTTTTATGGATGTCTATAAGCTAGTGTGCTCCAAAACAGGATGTCATAAACATCCACAGCTTGTAGTTACTTCTGCCTTAATCTATCTATTTTTAGAATCTATCTTTTTTTAAAACCTATTCTATTTTATACTTTAAAATTTGATATTTTTATCAAATCTTGAGCAATTAAATGCTCTATAGTATATGATATAAAACTAAAGCTTTTGGCCGTTTTTTTGAAAGGGGAGAAGTTACCCCCCCCCCCCCCCCCCCCAAAAATAGCACATTTTAAAGCACTTAACAGGACCTTCAAAGCACAATAAAAGAACACATTAAAAGCAATTTCGCAAGCGTGTATACTACACTTACCATAACTGTGGCCTCAATAACATTCTGTCGTTGTTTATTTTCTGTCCACAGCTTCTTAAATCCTGTGAGCATGTTCACAGGAGCAGTGGTGGTGGCATCCGTCTTCATAGGCTCTGTGTGGGCAGGAGAGAACAAGGCCATCATCAAAAAGTTCAAGAAGGAGAACCCAAGCTTGTTTGTTTTCCTGGTCATGGTTGTGAGCTACTTCCTCATGTCTCTCTTTGGTGGAGTCATGGTATTCCTGCTAGGAATCAAGCTGCCACTTTTGTGTAAGTTTCTGAAGAAACCATCAAGCATTTACTGCTAGCTAAAATGATCAATTACAAAAGGGGATGGAAATCTATTAGATGGAAATGTATGTATCATTAATCGGTGATGAGTGATGATGTTTTGAATGTCATTTTCAAAGTTTGAATTCCAAACTGGTAATATTCAATTGTGGTTTCTGATGCTTTTATAAAATGTGCGTTATTGGTCAGTTCTTGTACAAGAACTATAATTAAAAGTAAAAGCATTACAGTTGTTGAAATAACACCAAAAACAAATTTCTAGTTTTATTCAAGCACATTCAAAGACCTGTGTTTGTTTTCAATAACTTTCCAGGCCTTGAATCTATATGTCTGCTGAAATTTAAGTATTTTCAAGAAGCGTGGGAAACCCATTTAAAAAAAACACACCTCTTTTTTTTTTTGGAAATATGCTCATTTTACAAGCCAAATAGTTACAAGTTATTTTATGAGTCAAACAGCTGGTTTTTACCATTTTTGAGTCATTGAATAATATTACGCAGTGCTGTTACCTAGCTGGGGACTATTTTCAAGTGCTACATAATATTATTGAGACTACTGCGGTCATGGTTTGCCAACAACGTTCGTTCGGTAGTCATATCGACCTAGAAAATAGCAACTTTTCATTTTTAGTACACAATGAAATGACAAAAGAGTCAAGCTTTAAATAGGAAAACTGTTAAAACACTTTTTGGAAATCTTTAGTGAGATTCTAATAGTCTAATCTGATTCAATGCTATATGCTAAGCCAAACTAAAACCTCCACCAGACCCAGAGATCAGGTGAATGGGTTAAAAAAAAATGGTAAAACTCACTTAGACTTTACATGTGTCATTTTCAATATTTGGTAATATTCAGATGTGGTTTCTGATATATTTATAAAATGTGCGTTTTTTGTCTTTTTGTACTAGAACTATAATTCTTTTAATTTAAGATTTTTCAATGAAGAATTTCTATATATTTTTTTCATTCAGTTTTTGACAGCAGCATGATAATTGTTGAAATAATCCAAAAACTAATTTCAAATTTAATTTAAGCACTTTCAAGGACCTGTGTTTGTTTTCAAGCACTTTCCAGGCCTTAAAATCATCTGTCTGAGTATTTCCAAGAAGCGTGTGAACCCCGATTTAAAGAAACACACCTCTTTTCTTGGAAATATGGTTAAATATAAGTCAAACTCTTACATGATATTTTGCGAGTTAAACGGTTGGTTTTTACCATTTTTGAATCATACAATATTACACAGCGCTGATACTTGGATTTGGATTATTTTCAGGTGCTGTGTAATTTGATTGTGACTGCTGCAGCCATAGTACGGCAACAAAGTTCCTTCAGTAGTCATATCGACCTAGAGATGATCCACTTTTCATTTTTACGTCATGTTTATTACACGATGAAACAACAGAAGACTCGAGCTTAAAATAGGAAAACTATTAAAACCCTCTTTGGATTTTTTTTATGAGATGCTAGTGGTCTAATCTGATTCATTAATGTATGCTGAGCTAAGTTAAAAGTGCCTCCACCAGACCCGGAGATTGGCTGAATGGGTTAAAAAATCGTAAAACTCAAGTGTTTAACTCTATTGGTGACTTGTAAAATTAGCCTATTTTCCAAAAGAAGTGGAGTATTTCTTTAAGGGATTCCAAATCATGTCTTCTGTTGAACATGAAAGAAGACATTCTGAAGAATGTTGGAAACTTGTAGCATTTGACATGCATTAAAAAAATACTATGAAAGTCAATGGCTTTCGGTCTCCAACATTTTTCAAAATATCTTACTCTGTGCTCAACAAAAGAAAACTCAAACAGGTTTGGAACAAGTGAAGGGTGAGTAAATGCTGACAGGATTTTAGGTTTTGGGTGAACGATTGCTTTTGAACAGGGTGTCTGCAGGGTCTTAAAAATTATTAAGTATTAAAAGTTGACAAATCAATGTAATTTAAGGCTCTTAAAAAGTATTAAAGTCTTAAATGCTATTTTGGAAGGTATAAAATTTGATATCATTTTTGATTATGTGTGGTTGTATGCTAAAGTTTGCCTGAATTAAAACTGTGAAGATATCAGTAATCTGTGTTTATGAAATCAATAAAATCCTGTTAGATTTGACATCATGCTGCTTTGTTTACTGTAGCAACCAAGGCAACACCATTATTTCTGCTGCTCTATAGGCGCCAACCAGCTGAATTAGCTAGATATAATAGATTTTTATTCAGTATATGGATAATGTTTTAGTTTTGGTTGAAACCTAAAGTGGTTATAAGATCTTAAAATGTAAAGAAAAGGTCTTTAAAAGTATTACATTTCACTCTCTGATTCCTGTATATCAGGGGTGTCCAAACTTGGTCCTGGAGGGCCGGTGCCCTGCAAAGTTTAGTTCCAACCCCAATCAAACACATCTGGGCTAGCTAACCAAGCGCTACCTTGGCTTTCTCAAAACATCCTTGCAACCCCTGCTGTATATACTCTGTTGAAACTTTTGTCATTCTGTGTTTCAGTGATCTTTGCACATGCATCTCTTCGCTTGAGGAACATAAAAAACAAACTGGAGAATAAGATGGAGAGTGCGGGACTCAAGAAATCACCCATGGGGATCATACTTGAAGCACTGGGTCAACAAGAAGAAAACTTCAACAAAATTCAAGACTTTCTGGAGAGCAAACTGAAGGAGTGAAATCTTTTTTCGTCTGGGATTCTCACCAAATCATGAAGAAACTGGTGCAATTTGAGAAACTCGCTCCGTTACTTTCAACATGCTTAATTTGGCAAAAGTATGTTGTATGGAAAGACGTGTTGTTTGTTTACATCTCAGGTCAAATGTAGGAGGATGCAATTGAAAAATGGTCTCTGAGACATTTTTCTAACCTTAATGAAACATGTTTCATATTTAAAGTGTTAATGTTTAAAAATGTTTTCCCTTATTATGAAAAATCTAATTATAAAACGACAAGAAGTTTCTGAGTTTGAACATCTCCAAACGTTGTGAAGTGTGATGATAACTGGAATTGTACAAGTGTGACCGTTTTTAATGGCAGCTGAAACGCCTTGTATTGGAACTATTTTCTTCAGGTTGATCTTGTTTATGTGGACTTAATGAACATTGATGTATTTTATAATGCTGCTCCAGCATTAAGTAAACAATCAAAGTATTGCATTACAATGATTTTACCATAGGTCAATCAGGTCTATGATCATCACTTACCTTTTGGTAAATTCTGTAATCCACAGCCTGTGTGATCAAAGAAGAGCCTGCGTTCTTTAATCTATGCAAAAAGAGAAAAAGAGTTAATAAAGACCCATTGTGGCACATAATTTGTTTCATTTTAGTCAAACATGGATTATTGAAATCTGAATAACAGTAAAAGGTATTTTAGAGACGCAATATTTGCAATTAGTAACAATTATTTTATTCCACATTCAGTTGTGTTTGAAATCAGTGGCATTGCAAAGATAAACCAACGCTGCATCCCAATTCGCATATCATTCATCCTAAATAGTATTTAAAAGTAGAATTAGTATGTCCCAAATCGTAGTAGCCTATGTTGAAACAAGTATGCCAATAGACAAATTACCGGTTTGTAAACATTCAGGATGCGCACGCAGCGAGGTTGCAGAATGATGCGGTTCAGAGTTTGTTGTTGTATTAGAGTTAAGTTATATTGATTACATATTATTTACATAATGCTTTCAGCGTATTATAACAGCTTGTCACCCAGTGATAAGCACAATTATTCTGCAAAATAAACGTTCAAGTGAGCGGCGTTCATCTGACAGGTCCATTTGCGATAGCACCCTCCAAATGAATATTGGATAAGACGAAATGAACAAGCATCCAGCCCGAAATATACAATCTCATTGAAGCTCCATGTAATTTTACAAGAGAGAAGTTAAAGGCCTAAAATTATTTGGATGCCTAAAATTTTGTTCTGTGTGGTCAAGTGCAAAAAATAATGTTGCATGATTACAAGATTCAAAACTTTGTAGTGCTAAAAACAGAGGTGCTGCTTAGCCAAAAACAAGGACAGAAGACTGCACAAGGCCTGGGTAATCATCAACAAGCAAAACAACTGCACTCTGACAAAGAACTGCAACTGTAATCCAGGCTATGCGAACTTATATTTTTACATTTCATTCTTAGCATTCAGTGTCCGCAGCTTAATTCACCATATTTAACTGTTTTTGCTAAAATCATTGCTGCAATCAAAAATGAGTAATGTGTATGATTCAGCATAGCGTGAACTTACCTGATTTAACATGAGAACTGCAGAGTCCAGCATTTTTAATTAGGTCCTCACTCCATTCAGCTCTTCAAATGGCCGTTAGCCAAAGATGTCAGCGGTTGGCATTAAAAGCAGTGTGGTGTACGGTAAAATGTAAGTTTTCTATTTTTGGCCTTTCGAATTTGGCATCCTACTGCACAACACGACATGTTTGCTATTGCAATCTGTCTTTTTTGCAACCGCTATGTGCGGATGAGCCTGTGTGACGTAGGTTGGTAATTCCCCGATACTGCTGGATGGTTTACTATTTCTGGGCAAAATTTAAGTGTAGAAGTGTCCATACTTTAACTGCTGATATTGCCCACAGCACATTGAGCGCTACACATGAATTAGATTAGTACTACACACGCAAATGAAAAGTGTAAATAAACTACAAACATGGTGGACACGCGAGACCAACCATCAAGAAGAGAGGCTTCAGTAAAGAATTTTGTATGACTATTAATTAATATCTAGCCGACTGGAAAATATTTAAATTGCATTATATTTCATCTGCGACAACAATACTGAATTTATGCCATTTGAGATAAAATATACAAATCAACTCTAAAATTGTCTGAATATTATCCTCTATGATGCACAAGCTTTGTTTTTTTACAGTTATGCCTTTGTTAATTTTATATACAGTACTAAATCCATATTTATCATTTAGAAGTTTAGAAAATAATATTTAGAATTGTATTACTTTTATTTAGTTAATTTGAATATTTTATCTTAAAATGTGTCAGAGTTTAATTCATTTAAGTGTTCAGTGTATCCAATATACTGAAAAGATGGATTCAGAACTGTATATAAAATCAACAAAAAAAAACAAAGCTTGTGCATCATAGAGGATAATATTTAGAGAATTTTAGAGTTGATTTAAATATTTCATCTCAAATTGTGTCAGAGTTTAATTGACTTTTACCATTTTTACATTAAAAGTTACTAACAAAATGTTACAAAACAAATCATTCCAATTGCTTATTCCAAAAACAGAGTCTTGTGCAATAAGCAGGATGTTTTTCTGAACATTTTGTTGCTGGATTTATTGTATAATTTCATATGGTTGAATTGTTTATTTCATTCACATGGTTAATTTTTTTATTATTATTATTAATCGAGAAATTAAGCCTTGTGCAACATAAAGGGCACATATTTATGCCTATCTGACATATTTTTTGGCTTAAACTATAACAGGAGCAAATAATTTAATTGGTTTAAAATGTAATTTGTAATGAATGTTAAACATCAAACTAACTTTACCGCCAAACACTGCTTCTTCAAATAGGTAGGAAATTAATTAGACAGAAATGTGGATGATGTGTGGATAACCAAGGCAGGGATCATAACTCAGCAGCACAGCGATCTGTTAACGAGGAAGTTGTACGTCCCAAAGCTTGCATACTTTTCTGTTACACACCTAAAAGTAAAGATTTTTACTTTACCAAAAAGTACATACTTTTAAGGCGTAGTGCAAGTATGTGAATTGGGACACAGCACAAGTATAAGTTGGTCATGTGACCTCAACATGTTAACCACATGCAACGTATCTTGTAAGATAAATCAGCTTTTATTAGGCTACTGAATGACCGAAATCTTCTGTGAGTAGGCTATACATGACTTTTCTGCAAATAAAATGACTGAGCACAGACCCGAGTCCACGTTTTCAACAGCTGTCTCTCATTACAGACCGCAAAACGACTGAACTTACACAGAAGATTGAGGAGTTGTACATCAAAGCATTGAGTCTTTAAAATGTAAAACCTTGACAGAAACGATGACTTTTAAGGTAGCTTATCTGCACATCTGAACAGTCGTCATTCTGTCCCATTAATAGTTTTCTGCAGTAGATCACAGGGTGTTTCAGAGCGGCTCTCAACATCTGCGCAAACTCACCTGCAGTAAATCATGCGGCTTTCCCTCCATCTGAAGCAACCTGCTGAATCAGCAACTTCACCTTCATGTGTTTACATTTAAAAACAGACCCTTTTCAGACCTCTATTCACTCTTTTTACTGTAACTGCTGAGCAAACAGATTTACTACAGATTGTAATGTCCCCAGATTTCACCGTGCACTGTATAAATAAGTTCTTCTCTTGATATTTGAGGAAAAATACTACTGGACGATCTGCAAAGCCATTTAGGGTTTGTTACGGCCTTATTTCTGTTGTTTGATTCAACAAAAAGTAGCTGATAACCTTTCATTGACTTATTTTAATCTGCATGCTCCTCAAATTAGAACATCTCTGGGTAAAACTAGATTTAAAAAAACATGGATTTGCGCTAGCATACATACAAAACACAAACTGTAACTTTTAAAATACTAATTCTTAGCCTGCATTGATTAGAGCAAATGGAGCCAGGAACACTACCCAAAAACACTGTAATTTAAACAGCATCTACACTCAAACCAGCCTCTTTCTCCTTATTTTAAGGTTCACATAATCTTGGATCCAGCCCGTATCCTTAACAGATGGCTGTCATGGACATCAAAACGTAGGGAGATGGAAAAGAAGAAAAAGAGGATCTAATTTAAATTAATATAATTACACTGAATTTCAGTGTCAGTCAAAGCTTTGGAAAACATGCAAAAAAAATGTAATAATAATAATAAATTAGCTTATTATTTTTTATTGAGCAAGCAAATAAAATAAGAAAAATCTGCAAACATCCAGGTATATTTTAACGTAACTTTAAGAATAATTTAAAATGTTTGTATTATTTGTGGATTTGGCAACTATGGTTTATGTGCATTTCAGATAGAGGCCAGGAAGTGATTCTTTAATATGAATCACTATCAGAACTTTAAAATGTTTGTTTTGTGTTGTTTGAAATTGTTAAAGCCTGTCAAATTAAGAAACAACGAAGAGCTTATAAAGTTCAAAATTATTTGCTCATAAAGAGTAGTTTTCAAGAAACTCACTGAAAAACAAGAAAAGGTGGCTTGAAAAATCTTTTTTGTAGGTAGCTTACAGTATACCTCAGGCCTGTACCCAGGGGAGGTTGGATGACCCACCCCTCACTGACAAAGGTCCAGAATTTGTCCCATACATGAGCTCGTTTGTCAATTTGTCACAAATAGTGAAAATATCCCATCGAAAAAGGCCCAAGCGGAATCCTTTTTTAGCTGGTGCTTTGGTGTGACTTCAGCTAATCAGTTTTGGCCAATACTAACAATTATTTTTCATGAGTCCAACATCCTGATGTGCAAAAAAACATAATCTGATGTAAGATAATTCATCTTTTGCGACTGAATTGTTTATTAAATAGAAAACATTTTACAAGTAACTTCTAAACTGAACCGCCAACTTATCCAGCACGTTTTTTTTACGCAGCGGATGCCCTTCCAGCTGCAGAAAATGAGGTGTAAACCTGAAAAAGTATCACTTTTCGAGAAAAAAGAACCACCCCTTTCCCATGCTGGCTACTGGCCTGTACAGTATATCTACGACTGCAAACAACGTATTACCTACAACACTGTAAAAAATGCTGGGTTTCACTCAGTCGTTTTGTGTTGACACAACATGAAGGAATGAAGTTAACTTAATTGTTTTATGTTTAATCCACCTAAACTTAAACAAATAGGTTGGCCCCCCAAAACTCAAGAACTGGGTGGTCTAAGCTAACTTTAATCAAGTATTTTGAACAAACAGCTAACATCATTTTTTGAGTGAAGTTAGCTGCAGTTCACTTAAGCACACCTAATAACAAGGGTTTCTTATAGATATTCTGCCCCTTTAACGCAAGATGGATTCTGATCGGTTAGGAGTTTTTTAATAGCTCATCAGCTGAAAATAAAACATTTTGATAGCTATTACAATGATTTTGTTCCCGCTAATATAACTGTAAATGAAGTGCCATAATGTGACCTTAAGCTCGTCTCTCATAAAAGATTTTATGGATTGTTTGCTGAGACCGTGATGGATTAATATATTATTTATATCATTTTCAGTTTCTTACACAGACTATTCTTTTCACTTCATTAGACCTCGATGTATCGTCACTCGGGAGCTATGTTGGTATTCAATTTTGTTTCCTTTGATGT